TGACGTCTGTGGTAGCCGCTTCGCAGCCCACTGCCCAGAAGAGAAAGTCTCCCGAGGCAGCTGAGACCGCTGATCCCTTTGCCGCACTGCCCAAGGTTATGCCCTCGCCTTCAGACGACTACATCGGCTTCTTGCAATACCAGAAGCAAAAGTGGAAGATTCAGAAGCAGGCACGCATTCGAAGACGACAGCTGTTCGGAGACCGACGCGGCAACAACCAGAACAACATTCAAAACACGTTCATGAAGCAAGCCCACATGACCTACATGAGCAACTGGCAGCTGCTACATCTCAAGCCTACGGAGACCCCGGGTATCGTCAACGCTCACGTCCTCATTGATGCCAAGATCCACTCGCTCAAGATTAAGGTGCCGCGACAAGTGTTCTTGAACTTGAGAAGTGGCGAAATGCCCGACGTTGATATCCCCGGCTGTGAGGTCGAGCAGGTCAACCACACGCTTCCCAATGGTCACTCTTCCGTCCACCTCTTCAAGCTGACGGTTCCCGAGGATGTCTACTTCAATGAGGCCGACAAGTTCTCGCTACTGTTTAACCACCCCAGTGTCGAAGGCGTGTATGAGAAGCATTTGCCGCTGAACATCAGGGCTGTGCTTCAATTGGGTAATCTCTGCACCATTGACGAACAGCAACATGCAGTTCTCGGAAAGGGCCTGGAGCAGGGCTTTGATTTACATGGTCTCAAGCGTCCCGTAAAGGCAAAGACTTATCTCGAGACGTCGCCTCTGGCATACATCTACGTCTCGCACGTCACTGCCGGCGACAAACAAATCTTCGGTGTCTTCTCCACACTGAAGGACGAGGCACATGTAATTATCCTGCAGAAAGGTAGAGACTCGGGCCAGGACCTCCCCAACATCTCCCGAATCTACACCGAGCTGCTTGCTCGACGAGGAGAAGAGGCAGAAGGCACAAACTGGCAGGATTGCTTTACATACCAGGAGAAGCTGAACTTCAAAATCACCCAGGTCACGACGAGGCGAAAGGCACATTTGGAACTTAGCGACGTTGTGAAGAAGATGAGAAAGGACGAGCTGCGGCCGCTCATGATGGTCATCCAATCATCCCAGCGCAACATGCTCATCAATGACGTTCCGATTCTCGGCGAGTTCCCAGTACTGCCGCTCAAGTACGACGCTGCGGACAGCTCTTTGCCGCCACTGGGCTGGCAAGCAGTCGTTGCTAGACGGCTTGTTGGACACTATCTTGGTCTTGGCTCCTGGATCTTGCATCTCACCACACTCGCACGGTACGGAGAAGTTCCTCTGTGTAACTTGGAGCGAGAGGACCCGCGCTTCCTCATCGATATTGCATATGCCAGAAGATTGCAGAACAACAATGTCGTCCTATGGTGGTCTGCAAGCCCTCGTCCCGATCATGCCGGTCACGAGAAAGATGATATTATTGGCCCTCTCGAAACTGTCCAGATGCCGTCGATCAACAACCCCGGCACGTTCTCCTCGGTCTGCATCGACTTGGAGGTCAGAAACCTGGCCATCAATACCATACTTACTTCCTCTCTGATCAATGAGCTGGAAGGCTCTGAGTCCATCTCTTTCAACCCCGCCGGAGATTGTAACGCGGCCGGTGACGAAGTCATCTCGTCAGAAGGCACATTTGCCAACGCTGGTGTGCTGGTTCTTCGAGAGATGGTGAAGAGTTGGTGGCAGGAGGCCTGCAAGGGCAATACCATGGCCGATGTCATGGTTCAGCACCTGGTGCGTTGGGTCGAGAATCCTGATTCTTTCTTGTACGACCGTGCTCTGCATTATTACGTGCAGATGATGTCCAAGAAGGCCTTCCAACAGCTCATGGCCGACTTCCGCCGAGTCGGCTCTCAGGTCATCTTTGCCAACTCGAACCGCCTTTTGCTCCAGACGACCAAGGCCGAGGTCGGAACTGCCTACGCTTACAGCCAGTACATCATTAAGTCGATCAAGAGCAAGCCCCTCTTCCACTTCATCGACCTTGAGATCAAGGAATACTGGGACTACCTGGTGTGGTACGATGAGTTCAACTACGGCGGCAAGGCCTGTCAGGAGGTGGTGGAGGCAGAGCAGCAGACTCTCGACACCGTCATGCACTGGCAAATGGCGACATTCCTCCCTATCCGCCTGCAGCCGACCTTTCAGGACTGGGTCATTGAGTTCATCCAACTCATGCACAACCTCAAGCGTCCTCAAGACGGAGATTTCTCCTCGACGCCGCGCCTCACGCAAATTCCACAAAAGGCCCTCGCGGAGGGCGCCCAGGGACAAATCATCCTAGGCAAAGTCTTTGAGAAGCCCCTGAAGAAGGACATTGCCAACCTCGTTAATCTGCAAAAGCGCGAGCTGCTCCACCCGGAGCTCGCGGAAGACTACTCCTTCCCCAAGCTCCCCGGCTCGCACCTCGCCCACCTATCCTCGCGCAACGCCGTCCTTGAGCTCGTAAAGTCCCTGATGCAGGTCCTCTCCCTCGACAAGAACATCACCCTCGAAGCACGCCTGCTGCGTAAAGAGTTGCTCGCCATGTTTGATGTGCGCGAGTTCAGCAAGGAAGGCGCCTTCCAGAACCCGAGCGAGAGCCTGAAGGTGATCCAGCTCAGCTGCGACAGCTGCACCATGGCGCGCGACCTCGACTTCTGCCGCGACGAGGACCTGTTGCCAGAAATTGGGCCCGACGGGCGGCGGCTGGGACCGGAGACGAGGCCTTGGCGGTGTACGTTTTGTGAGGCCGAGTATGATCGGAACGCGATCGAGGAGACATTGTTGGCGAGCGTGGAGGCGTTTGTGGTGGAGTGGACTACGCAGGATCTCAAGTGCGGCAAGTGTGGTGCGTTGCGGATGAATGAGTTTATGGAGCATTGCACGTGTAGCGGGACGTGGGTTGAGAGTGTTAAGAGGGCGGATATTGTGAGAAGGTTGGGTGTGTATTGGAGCGTGGCCAAGTTTTATGGGTTGAGAATGTTGTTGGAGGTTACGGAGGGGTTGAGGAAGGGTCTTTAAGGCCTCGTGGAGGGACGGGTGAGATGGGATTGGCATGAATAGGCGCGTTCGGGCTGCATTTGATGGCGTTTATGGGGATGTGAGACTTATGAGAGGGATGATATGGTAGATAGCCTTCTTGAGGAATCATTGGGGGCGTAGGTTACGCGCTTGAATACGAATACTTAATTCAGGATATGGGTATAAACCTCGTGTTTGTGGCTGTGACTATGACTTGTTTGCGTTGGAGGGTGAGTGGATAGGCGCAACAGATGAGAGATTTAAGATGGCTGGGTTGAACAGCTTGCCTGTCGTGTAGTTCACTGCCAATGTTTGATGGAAGTTCGTATCTAAAAGTCGTCCAGAGCGTGAGAAGTTGGGGTGGGTTTGAGAGATGAAGTTGGATGGTCACCTTATCCATCGCACCGAGTACTGAATGGCGTCACTTCATAGACACCCGTCTTATTCAGAGTACCAGCAAAAGCTCTGCGCGGGTACAAGGGTTCTGGTAGAGGATTAAGTCACAGAGATATGCATATGCAACATGTAGCATACACTACTAAACGGTGATCACGTACATAGATATTCACAAAGACAGAGCTTTTTTACGCACTTACGTGCCTAGAATAAATTGAAACACTAATAGCGAACCACGTGTTCATCCGTCCCTATCCCACTCGTCCCATCGGTTGCGGGTCGACTTCGACACATACGTCTCCAGTTCTTCTTCCACTCGCAAGTGATGCTCAGTCTTCAGTTTATGGAAGTAATGGGTTCTCGGTCGGACTATCATATAGGTAGCTCGTTATTACCGCTGACATAGATACAGTACGTACCTATGAACTGACATCGGCCCGTGCCAAACGGAATATCCTCGAATTAAAGAAACAATATTAGGAGCAGAGTTGGAGAAATCTGGGAAAAGTTTGTGCTCACGTCTTGCAGCACTCGACGGGATACCCAGTCGGTGAGGACATCGCACGATACATGTCCTGATGAGAGACAGTTGGAGTTGCATGCGCCTCGCCATCAATTAGTCTTCGATCTCCCTCGAAGAGCACACTGAAAAACCCATGAAGTCGACAGACATCTATCACATTTGCTATGAATTTCGGAACCCACTTGCCCCAACGTCATATTCACCTCAGCTTTCCATTCGTCTGACCACCCCAAGCTCCTCTTCATCCCGCGAGATCTAACGCAGTCGAAAGCAGGATTCTAATTTGCTGAGTCCGGACTTTGGCATTCTGGGGCCCCTCGTTTATCAATGATGAACGCGTGCTTCGGGTCATGAAGCTTATCCTTGTAAGGCGCGCACTTGAAGCAAAGCCCAAAGTTCTTGTAACAATCATTGTCATTGCAAAGAAAGAAGGCACCCCAAATCAGCTGGATTTGTTGTCTGGATTAGCTTCAGATATGGCGTTCCGTTGGTGCAGGGAAACTTACAGTATCGCAGCCATCGCAAATCCATCTTCCAGCACGCTTGGACAACGCTTTGGTCGATTCGACTTGTACTTGTGCGTCCTCCATCATGTCCCTGAACGCAGAGACGACAATTTCAGGCGCGCCGTGGTATTCCGCAATCTCCAGCACGTTCCATGTCCCTTCGTTGCCACCCGATACACGTCCTGCCAAGCCGGGACAACCCTTGCGAGCAAGGAACTTGATGATTTCGACCTTGTCTTCCCATTTCTGCGGAGAAACTTCGCCTCCGAGACCGTCGATGGAAGCCATTCGTGCTGTCCAGTGAAGGGCCGACCACTCATCGGCGTCACGGCTATTAACTAGGTTTCGATCTAGGTCGACAAGTCTCTCAACAAGTCTCAGATGCCCTGAGTGTGCTGCGCAGTGCAGAATATTCCGTGACATTTTGTCTTTATCCCCTAGCGATGCGAAGAAGTCGTCCGCTCCGTAATCAGCTAGTAGTATGTCAAAGATCTCGAGGGCATCGTGTTTTCTAGCACAAATATTAAACCACGCCGGTTGTCCGTTACCATCTAGGGTATTATAACTTCCGCCATTCTCAAGCAGGTATCGTATGAGTGATTCGCCGCCAGACCGGAACGCCTCTCCCATGGCACTGCGGAGGTAGCTCCCCGGGCCGTTGACGTCGATCCCCTTTTGCTCGACAAGGTATCTCACTAATCTCAAGTCGTTTTTGTTCTCGTTATTGCATGCTGCCTCGAGAAGGGTGCCCTGCATCCCATACCAGAGTCCCGCATCGCCGCCTAGCTCCAAGATCAATTTTACTTCTTCTACTTCACCGAACCTGCAGCACCTGTGCACGGTGGACCCATATCGATCTGGACCCTTTGCGTTGACTGGAGCACCTTTGGAAATGAGATACCTGCAAATCTCTTCGCGGCTCTCCTGCTCGCCATAGACCAGGGCGTTCGGTAGAGCGGTATGGCCCCATTTGTCGGTGGCCTCGAAATCGGCGCCGGCGTTCAGCAAACGCCGGGTAAGACTCGAGTCTTGCTTCGTCACGGCGTAAAAGAGAGGCGTGTAGCCGTTCTCGTCTTTGGCTTCCTTATCGGCGCCGTATTCCAGCAGAACCGCGAGCGTAACGCCGCTGTGTGTGAGGTGGAGCGGTGTCAAACCGGTGCCGGGGATTCGATGGTTGACGTTGGCCCCGTGCTCAAGCAACAGCCTCACAATATCCGTGTGAGAATATAGACTCGCAACAGCTAGAGCAGTGTATCCCCTCGTATCCGCCTTTTCTCTCTCGATATCCGAGGATGGCGTGAATTCGATGTCCGGGTCGCCATGCTTTAACAACAACCTGACACTTTCCGTCTTGCCGTACGTCGCTGCGAGGAAGAGTGCTGTACATTGGGTGTCGCCAAACTCTGACACCCGATGATAGTCAGGGGGTGGCCACGCCTTGGTGACCAAATGTGCCATGACGGCCGGATAGTCATAGGCTCCCTCCAAAGGAGACCAATTTCGTGCCTTTGAAGGAATAGTCACGTCGGCTCCTTTGCTCAGGAGATATTCGACGATTTCCGGTCTCGATTGAAGCGTCGCTCCGTACAGCGGCGTCAGCCCCTTAACATCAGTTCGAACGTTGATGTCTGCGCCTCGTTCAATCAGAAACTTCACCATGGATAGCGTGCCCTCTTTCGCGGCCAAGTAAAGAGGCGGTTCACCCGAGAATTTTTGAGCATCGATGTTGACGCCGTAATTCAAGAACACCTGTGCTAGCTCCGTGTTATCTTGCTTCACGGCCTCACTCAAGTATTGCTCTTGATGCCCTTCTTTAATCTCAACTCCCGTGTCGAGAAGTAAGAGACAGATTTCCTTTGACGCTGACTTCTGAATAGCACGACTCAGGCAATCCATAAGGACTTCACTGTCTGCGAACACATCAGTATACCCGAGAAGTACTCCCACAATTTCGAGTGACGAGTAATCAACAGCCATGTAGAGACTCTCCTTCAGTTCTTTACTTGAGAAGTATTCGTTCTGATATTGGCTAACCAGCAGCCTTTCCACAACAATATGATTGCCCGAGTAAATCAGCGCTCCCAAAGATCGGGACGAGACATCTGATCTGAGCCAGCTCATAAGTGCGAGGACGTCTTTGCAATCGCAAACGAGGCTTGCAGCGAACAAGATATCAGCCTTCTGATCTTCGTTGAGGTGACGTTCTGCAAGCCGTGCTATCATCTTTGTGGCTTCCGATCTCTGGGTGGCAATGGCTCTCAATAGCCAAGTAAGCCACATGAAGCTTTCAACTTTGCAACCCTTGATATTTTTGGCGCTTACTTCGGCGCCGGCGAGTGCAGCGCAAAGAACCAATTCGACCGGGGGTTGGAAGTTCGGTCGAGACTGCGCTTGTCGGAAAAGGTCATGAATGCAGTCGTGTGTGAGATTTCCTGGTTCAAGTGCTGAAAAGATCTTTCTCGCTTCCTCGTCTCTTAGCACAGAAACAGAGAGCTTCGGAAGAAGTGTCGTATGGCCGCCCCTGACTGCCTCCAAAAGCGCAGGGAACACAGTCTTTGGGCTGCTTTCCCATCCAGGGCAGCCGGCAAGCATACCAATCTCCTCGACGTCATGGAAACCATGGCATACGAGAAGAGCCACCGCAGTAGCTGTGCTATCTTCAGAACTCGCCCTCCTAGGAGATTCTACGACAGTGTTCTGAACATATCGGAGCATCAGCAGACTCGCGGCGTGGTTGGTCTTCAGGAATCTGGTTACTATGGCTTCGGCCTCTAATTTTGTCGACGTGTGAGATTGAGCAACTCTGTAGTGATGCGACCAAAAATTGGCAGCATACGTCGTCAAGTTGTGGTGGAAAGGTGAAGGTCGGATGAACCCGGATTGTGGATTTTGACTGTCGAGGCCTTTAAGCTCTGCCTTGTCACCCAAATGTCGGAGCAGACAACGCAGGATCCATAAGTTTGACTTGGCATTATTGGAATGCCAGGGACCAGCGTCGGTTGGTTCACCAGTAATGTCGTAAGTAAGCCGACACTCGTCGTCGACTACTTGTATAAGGCCTGAGAGATGATTTTGTATGAAGCAAAAGCCAGCGGATGAGGTGCTTTCCATTCCCTTTCCAGGATGGCACTGATATGAGATAACTCCGATTTCATCTGATTCCGCTATGCTCTGTTCTAGAGCTAAAGCAGTGACAAGTTCAGCCGGAGAAAGGGGTCGGCAGCAGAATTGGATCCAGCGAAGGGCGCTATTCGTGAAAACGCCCTCGTCTCTTGCGAGGAAACCCGATATTGCAGTCTGGAGACGTTGTGGATCAAGCTTCCCATTGTCGTCGATGGCTTCATGGACTCTTCGTGACCACTCAACCTCTGATACGCTGGTTTGTGCTGTCCGGATGGCCAACTGCATGAAACTTTGGCGAAGCTCGTCGTCTTTGGTGTCGCACAAGGCAGCCTTGATCAATTCTGGTAACGTAACAACGCGCGTGTGACTGCCGTGTGGAGCTAAGAATTCTGTAGAAATCTGGCTGCTATGATTTTGAGACCGTTGATATCGAGACCTTAGTTGAAAAGAATGAATGCCGGCATCTTGCATAATTCCCTCAAAAGCAGGGGTTGATTGTCCCAACCAGGAAAAGAGTATCGCAGGCTTGTGCGTGGTGAACCGGGAAAGCTCTTTGAAGTTGCTCAGCAGACTAGTCACCTCTGCGTCGCCGCCATAGTGTTCAAGGTTCCAGATAGACCATATTGGACGAATGCCATTGCGCCGGAGACAAATGTTCAGAGAGACGAATAGAACTGCAAGCAAGTCTTCTACCAATGGCTTCGCAAACGAGGAGGCTGATTCAAATAACGAAAACAGGCTTGCCACACCAGTGTCGGGCTCTGTCCGATGAGAGAGGTACGCAAGACCCTGAGCTAGGAAGCTCTCCAGAACTAGTCGCATACTGCTCAAGTGGATTCTCGTTTGGATCTGTGAATGCACTCTGATCTCTCGAAACTGGTAGGCAAAAGCTCGGGTCTCTGTCTTGGGTGCTGACTGCTGGTTTACTTCCGATACCAATCGAACGAGGCTGCCAATCATACCCGATGGGGATGATTCCGTAGAAGTCCAGATATATCGGATATTGCTTGACGTATGATCTTCTATCCACTCATCGAGGTCTTCTTCGAATCCCGACTTATCCGATGTATTGTACTCAAGCCCCGCTTGGAAAGTAGGTGGCGGAGACGCGGATAAGAGCAGGACTTGTACGCTCTGGCTGCCAAAGCTTCCTGTTGTGAGAAGCGTAAATTAGTTATTTTGATCATATAGAAATGCAGATGGTTTATTCAGTGCACAGAGATATCTTGGCGCGTTACCTGTAATTGAAATCTGAAGTTTTCCCTTGAGCAACTTATCCGTCCTCTCGTCGAGTTCGTGACCGAGCAGGGTGTGGTGAGGGTGTGGCAATCCGATGCGAGTTTCGCAACTGAGGTCAAGCGTTGCAGTGAACTCATCGAAAGTCTAATGGAGTCAGAAATGGATAAAACAACGATTCAGGGCGATTCTACGGCCCAATCGGACCCTCGCATGATCGCTATTATGATAACGGTGTAAAAACCGTGACAAGAGAGAGATAGGAGAGCTCAACCACCAAGTATGTGTATGTACTTACTCGGTCAATAGGATGCAATGCCTCCGAGAAGACGCTGATGATTTGCATCCTGAAAGGCACATTGCTGTTCAAGAACAGGTGATTCACATCAGTGGTAGTTTTAGCGCATAGTTTGGCAGCTTGCATGAGGCCGACACTGGGGACACTGCGAGTGTTACAGATCAAAGTCGCAAACCCATTAGCAAGTGACTCAGTACTTGATGTTTTGTGTGGGCAGCCAAGGAAGATCTTTGAATTTTTCAGCATTGCAATCTTCTCACATCAAAACTATAGGTTGACTTACTAAGACATAAATAGAGGACAGCAGTTGACCATACTTGTTTAGGTCGGCAGAAGCAATGACTAAGGCCTGTTATCAAACGTGTAAGTTGAAGAGGACCTACGAATAGAAAGAGATTCAGAGGCAACTTTAGCTCAACCTACCATCTTAATAAGTACACCACCCGTGTCATGAGCTAGAATGGCAAGTGGGCGATCTCCCTTCGGGGAAAAAATCAGCAATTGGGTGACACTCTGGAAATTTCGATGAGAGATGCTGACCTCCGATGCCCTCCAAGCCACGATATCGTCTAAGAGCCGACAGGCAACGGACTTCAGTCCATCGCGAGTGCATATAGGGTTTTGACAATTAAAAAAGTTTTCGTAGTTGAAAGCAATGACGTTAGAGTTGCTATCATTGAATAAATCCCGTCTCAGCCAGGCTGCTTCGGTCGCGATTGCCTCCCAAGGACTGCCACCGCTATGTGACAATCCATGGACCACAAGAATGCTTTCAATTCGTTAATTACTGTAAGCTCTCAAGACTGGGCTGGAATTGAAAGGTTTTGAAGAAATAAATAATAGCAGCATTGCCGTTGTGCAACATACTCTTTATCTGGGCCACCATCCTCCGCATCGAATCTCTCAAGTAACTCCATGATTGTGTGTTTTTATGGAACAACTTTTGCTCTTCCGAAGGTCGTCTACGATTCTGTGGAAAAGAACGTTCCTCAGGTATGCCAACTTTGCAACGGAAAAGCTTCCAAGAAAGATGAGCTCATAGAGGGGAGAAAGCCGCCTTAGGCCGGCCACTCATACATCAGCTGATTGCTCAGATTGGGTTGGTTTCCGTCCAACTGTCCAACAACAAGTTATGCATTCACAAGGTAACCTGCTGGGTACTTGCAAGTACATCGAAGCTAGCTGCGACTGCCTCTGGCTATCTTTGACCCAACTTGGGGTTCCTGTTTGAAGCTTAGCGACAGGCGCAGGTTACATTCAGGGATTCAATGCGATGTGATGAAAGCGTTTACATGCACCTCGCCAAGAATATCAACCAATTACCCGCTCGTGCCGCTCAACAACTACTGTACAAATTCTCTTGAAAATAACTCAGTTTCCAAGGCGCCAGAAGACAATCCCCAAAGTTCACCCACTACATCCGCAAGCTGTCTCGGATCATACTTGCGCAGGTTTTCGGTGGATTGTTTGCTAGGATCAACTCTTAAACAACCTCGAAAGAGACACGCTTCACGAAACAAGATGTTGAGGCTGCAGACAAAGCCAGTGATGAAATTTGTAAGGAGCTCGGAGTTCGCTTTCTGCGGTCGACTGTTTTCCACAACGATGAGACGAGGAACGCTTTCCGGGAGATTGACACCGAAATCCAGCGATTTTTCGGAAATCACGAACAGCGTAAGTTTCAAATTCTGAAAGGAACCCCCGGCTTGGAATTACTTCAGCTTTTCATAGCTTGGTTCCAACAATCGCATGGCGTCGTCACACCCCCCTTCTTCTTCCCTGATTTGAGTGATGAGGAAAATGGAGCCCTGGCCATTATTGAATCGCTTTTGTATGAATGCTAATATTCGAGAACTCAGATTACTATTTTGCAATGGATACGGCTAAGGAATACCGTGACATGACAGAGACCCAAGTGAGAAATTATTTCAGCAAACGGGATCACCACCACACTCTTCGTCATGTCTTTCTTCAGCCGGCTACGATCCTCCTTGACAATGATCAGAAAACCCCTAATGGTTCATCCCGCTATACAGATCATCTTCAATTCTTTAATTGGTTCAGGGAGTGGGGTGTTCGTAAGATCTTCAAGGTTGTTGTCTATGACGGTGACCACCCTCACCGAGACGAGGAGGTTGAAAAGGCTCTGGCGGGCTTTGTGCACGGGAAAAAGAAGTATGCATCTTTTGATGTCGAGGTTCTTGACTGGCACAAGGAAGATCTCTGCCCCGAGGTGATACAGACAGCGACGCCGCAGGTTCGCGAACTTCATCTTCATTGGAGTGGTCGGAACTCTGTCCTTCGTGGATGGAGCGAGCCTGAGGGACTACCTGCTCTTGAATATCTGCAAAAGGTGTATATCTACTACACAGCACCATCGGTAGAAGAAAGTCGCATACGAAAGAACATTGAAAGCTTCACAAGGCGCATGAAGCAGCCAAGGCGACAGCCGGCGAAGATGGGACAGACGAATCAGAACTCAACTAGTATTCATGCGCCAGTACAAATGCAGCTGTCCAGACAGTCAACCCTGACCCAAGCACATGAGCAGTTCGACGACTGCAAGAGCCTACCAACCATTCAAGTTGTCGATGTGGGCAGAGTTACGCCGACAGGCGTACCTGGGCCTGATCGTGCTGCGGGTTCTGCCTCAGAATCTGTAGAACAGCCGTGGTTCAAGTACGTTGAGGAATTTGTTTCAATTATCCCTGCACCGGAGGAGCTGCCAGACTATGACTTCAAGAACCCGCACTTACGTCGAGTGAGGGTTGCACTGATCGATGACGGAGTTGATCTCTTTAGCAAAAGCATGCGTTGTCTAGAGTCGCGCTTTTTGGAAGGTCGAAGCTTTGACCAAACGCCCGATGGACCGAACCCGGTTTATTCGTCTGTCAGTGGCCATGGAACATTCATGGCAAAAACGATTCTTCGTATTTGCCCTTTTGCGGACATAATACCATATCGTCTGAAAACCATCCGAGACGCCTCCAGCAATCGTCGAGTACCTGATGCAAGCAGCGCAGCTAAGGTAAGAATTATGAGCCTATGTTCCAAGGCCCAATTTGAGCGAAGTTCTGTTGTCAGGCTTTGTGATATCAATGCCATCTTTGAACCAGCGCCAGCGCTTGAACAAGCTATGGATCTGACTGACTTGCGCAGGCTATCAAAGCGGCCATAGAGCAAGACGTCGACATCATCAGTATGTCTTGGACCATCCGCAACGACAATAACAAAATTCCAGAGGCCACGCTCATGGAGCTACGCAATGTCGTAAGCGCCTGTGAGGGCACCGGCACTCAACGCCGTCGGATACCCATCATGTTCTGCGCAGCGAGCGACGATGGAATCCAAGGACGCAGTCAGCACGGTAATAGAGGAGAGTTTCAGCGGGAAATTAACAACGCCAAAGTGCTCTGCATTGGTGCTGCTGATCCTCACGGACAGGTCTGGCCAGAGGTTACCGATCAGAATGGGCTGAACTACCTATTCCCAGGCGTAGATATCAAGGACGTTTTTGAAGATGACAGCCATGATTCCGACACCATATCAGAGGCTCTGGGCTCTCAGATCAGCGATCTAGTCACTAGGAACGGACGTACAGGCTCGTCAGTTGCCACAGCTCTTGCAGCTGGCCTCGCAGCGCTTCTGATCCACTGTACCAAGCTGGGACACTACTATACCAATGCATGGAAAGGCCTTGAGACTCGCCGCAAAGAGACCATCGCGCAGCAATTTGTCGATCAGATCGCAATTTACGAGGGCATGCAAAATGCTCTGGATAATCTGAGTTCTGGTAGTCGAAGTGGGACGAAGTATGCGAACCCAAGCAAGGATTTCGCGTGTGCGATCCAGGATCTGAGGCAATATGATGACCAAGGCGGAGCAGCGAACAACTTGCCTCAATCTCTTAAACCTATCGCAACTCTGTGTCGAAATCTATGCAGGATATGAAGGGCGAACCAAAGTCGAACGGCTCGAAGGGTATCGAGTCCGGGTTGTTAATTCTAGCTTACTTGGAACAACTTCCAATCCATGTATCTCAGCTAACCGCTTCATATTATCTATCCATATTCGCGAAACTCTCTGAATCGGTGGAAAATCGGTTAAGCGTCCCTGACGGTAAATCTCAAGTTGAGAGTCTCAACCTCCGGGTTCGCCCTAAAACTGAAACCGCTCGCGCCTCCCCATACCGTCACTTCCGTAATTACCTTCCGACCAAATGTCGCCTTGTGCTGGATGAGGAACAAGGCCGGAGCCGCGCCGTGCGTGCTCCCGAGAATAGCTAGTCCCGGCCGGGAGTCCATTGAGAATGTCACCCTCTGGCCCCAACCTGGCACCCTGCGGTGCCCGGCGTCATACAGAGCCTGCGCAATGAGATTGAAGCTGGGGACGTAGGTGATGTGAGACTGGAAGATGAGGTTAATGTTGTTGGGACGGATACGCTTTGCTGCGCAGGCATCAAGCCACTGGAAGTAAGCGAGGTCGGAGAGCTGTTCAAGTTCTGGGACGTCGCCGGCGCCGCTTTCGGCTATTTGATATCGGGGGCTGAAGTCTCTGTCAAAGATGATTGCTCCTGAGCGAGGGTTGAAGACATTTTGGTAGGAGGCTTGCGATGGCTGGAGGAAGAGAGTAAGATGTTAGTAAAAGATCCACAACATTGAAGGCCGAAATTGACGGCTTTGTAGGAGTCGAAACTCAGAACTGACCTCTCCCCATGAGCCATCCCGGAGTGTGAAGTCATTTGCATGTAGGAATGTAGACAACCCATTCTCCATCGGGTCTACTGGGTGGCTCGGGTCTGCGAAGACATCGTCCATGAGATTACCGAAACCAGGCGAGGTCTCAAACTGGTCAAAGTCGTCGCCGTCACTGAACTCGTCGCCGCCGTTAGTGTTGAACGGCGCCCAATTGATTTCGCGCGTCCAACCCCACTGTTCGACGGCGGCCTGGTTCTGCCACGGACTCGCGACGCTAACCCCGCGGTTATGGCGGGTTGCCTCCGCGTCGCTCAGCGGCATGAGCGTACGAAGGTAGACGCCCTTTTGGACGCGACCATTGTAGTCATTAGGAAAGCTGGGGAACTGTCCTACGACTCGCTTGGCGAGAGGTTCGTCGTCAGGATAGGGAAGAGTGTCGGGTCTTGCGACTGGTGCAGGGGATGCGCCAACGAGGGCTGCTTGGAGGACTGCCCATGACAAGAGGAGGCGGAGGCCGCTTGCCCCGAAGGAGTGTGACGTGCTCGACATTGTGAAATAGAAGCCTTGATAGCTTTAAGAGACACAATGAGCAAGTAGAAAGGAAAGCTTCGGAGGGAAGAAAACGGACATCAGTCGGGTGTCGTTTAGATAATGTAAAGAGGCATCGGATTAAATTACATCTTCCGGCACGTCCAGAATGGGTGAGCATATTGCGGAAATGACCATTGGCTTTAGGCTTTTCTGGCGTTCAGTAATATATGAAGTGTCTCGCTCCTTCAAAGTCAGCTTTAGCCTCATTTCTGGCGTGATCAGATTCGACGTGGGAGTGTAACACGAAGTTGCTGGCTCATGGCAAGAAAACTAATTTTATCTAGTTCAATTATATCAAGAAACTTACAATAATCAAGGACTCCACTAGCAGAGGAAGCTCGCTGAATCGGCGCGAACATCTTGGGGGTATTTCAGCTAGCTCTTGCGGACGAGATGAACGCAAAGAACGTCGATATTGCCGAAGGCAGACAGTCATGTAATTGCCCAAGTTTCGCAGGCCATAGTCTAATTCTCGTTATTTTATTCGCCATGAACAAGAAGCTTCTGGTGGCACTGGCCACCGTGCCGTGCCGTGCGGCCACCGGCGAAGCCGTCTAATTAAACTCAAATGGACAACGACTGAGAACTTGAAGCGGAGCGGGCAGAATTTATCGCAGTCAACCACTGTTGCCCATATCAACATCGTTATCATGATTTCTTAAGTATACACGCCTCTCGAGATGTCCCATCAGCGACTCGCTAAAGTCATAGCCTCTATCTCGGCTCAACTTACACATCCACTGACAACATGTTTGTGAGAGCTCAGCACCTTCTCACAGTATGCCTCCTCTTCTCGGAGGCTGCCATGGCCGCCATCTTGCCTCGTGGAGGCGATGATTCAGGTGGTCATGCGTGGGCAAATCACGATATGATCACAGCTTTCAAACAGGACTCTTCTCCCGGGACAGACGGTCGCCTGGAACGTAGATTTAACCCTTTCCTCGCCGTCACGGGAGGTTGCGATCCGTATCCCGCAGTCGATGCCAGTGGGGCTCTTGGGTAAGCCTCCATGTTGTTCGTTCTATAGAACAATGTCGTATCTAATGGAATAAAACAGAGCAGGTCTGAAGCCCACCGGCGGCGGGAGATCAGGCTGCGGTAACGGCGGCGCTGGCCAAGTCTACGCTCGCCACGGAAGCAGCCACGGCCGTGAGGCCATCATTTACAGCTACTATTTCCCCAAGGTTCGATGGGGCAAGGGAAACGACGAGGGGCACCGCCACTACTGGGCCAGTGTTGTGGTCTGGATAAACCGATGGGGTTGCAACGCCGAGAAACCCTCCTCATACCGGGTCGTTGGCATCTCATACACGGTCGACCACTTGAGATGGGGCACTACGGCTGTTGGTGACCTCAAATTCAGGACTTCACCCACGAACCCGATTGTCTCAATCCACGATAATGCCATGGCACCTTTCCAAGATACAGATATATCCGCGGCCTCCAATCGCACTCTTATCGCGTGGAGCTCGTTACCTAGCCCGGCGAGGCAGGCCTTGACTGACGTCAAGTACGAAAAGACCCAAGTGCCGTTTAACGACGCCAATATCCAAGGATCCCTCGATGGGGCTTACCAACAGGCATTCTACAACGGTTTGAAGGACGGGCAGGACTGTACCAAAGACATCCCGGACCCTGATGGTCCTGACTTGGCACCCGGCGAGCAAGAGCCTATTGCAATTCCTCTGCCCCCAGTTGATGATTAGATACATCAATGAAGACAAACCGAGACATTCTAAGTAATGTGTGAATAGCTGAGCCATATGTGCAATTGAAGAACGTCATGTGATATCACTGATCTTGGGTGATTGTCCTTAGCAGTGTCTCTTTGAGTTCAGTCTCGGGTCTACCATTCATTATGGTTGCAACGCAAACAACCCTCAGTCATGACTGAATTAGTATGAGCAGGGACAATTTTCGATGGAAAATAACTGACTCCTTCACATCGTGTGTAGAAGTAGGGCTTTTGGTGTGAATGTGGTGTAGGTGCGATGCCAAAACGGAATGCAAGGATTAAGCGTGCCGACTTACCTCGTAGTATATCGACCGAACTATTCATTCTCTCTATCTATGATGTCTTTTAGGACTTCCGCACTCGAATACCACTTCTAGAAGATCCTCCAGAGACTTCCAATCTGCCGAGGTTGAAAACCACTTAACAGCTCCGCGTCCCCACAGACAGCGCGGAGTTCCGGATCCTCCTGGACCTGGGCCAGAAAATACTGGAGTGCAATCAACATATCGCTAGAAGCTAAATGGACAATTTCCGCATGATTCTGTCATAGCTCGGTTCTGAGTTGTTGCCGGATGTCTGTAATGACCACGGGAACTAAACGTTCCCACCTCAAATACGCGTGTTTCAGGGATTGTGCGCCTCCCATTACCATGCGGTTTACAAGGGCCAATAACAGGGGCTGTCTGATACTAAAAGTCCATATGTGCAGAAGGGTCCTCAAATTGTCCTCTCGAGTGAGAATTCTGGTCTCATTTGTAGCCATGGTAGGAACATCGGATTCGAAAGCTGCTTCTGAGACTCCCAAGATGATCCGACCAGATACGCCAGAGCCACAAGCTCAGATTCTCGCCTCGAAGCCCCCCATACAGAACCATGATCCCGAAGCTGTTCATGCAGTGGACGGAGAAGCTCTTATCGTCGATTGGGACGGGCAAGGGGACCCCGAGCACCCCTTGAATTGGTCAAATGGAAAGAAGGGGCTGAACATCGCCATACTGTCTCTTCTCAGCGTAGTCACGTCAGTAATTCTCAGGTCACTGGCCTCTAGAAATATCTCTCATGGTTGATGCTGACAATTCCAGGCCTCTGGGCTCCTCAATGTTCGCGCCTGGCATTCCCCTTATCATGGAAGAATTTCACGACGAAAGCTCCGTTACTGCAACCTTCCTGCTCTCGATCTACGTTCTTGGATTCGCCCTTGGTCCTCTGCTTGTCGCCCCAATCAGCGAACTGTATGGCCGCAGATATCTCTACATCTTCGGGAATATCCTCTTCACAGGGTTCACAATCGGGACAGCGCTGAGCAATAGCATCGGAATGTTGCTTACTTTTCGCCTCTTTATGGGTCTATCTGGTGTTGTTCCCCTCACTATTGGGAGCGGAAGCATCGCAGATATGATGCCACCCGAGAAGCGAGGTAGAGCTGTTTCCATCTGGGCACTGGGTCCCTTGTTAGGAGCATGTGTTGGGCCGGTCGCTGGCGGTTATCTCATTCGCGCCACCGGATGGAGGTGGGTGTTTTGGCTCATCAGTATTCTAGTAAGTTCATGTCTCCCAGCCTTACGATATGTCGTTGAGAACTCTTAAGACTGATGGTGCTCATTCAGGCAGGAATATTCATACCAGTCTCGATTCTGGTATTACGGGAGACGTATCCCCCTGCCATTCTAGAGTACAAGGCCGGCCGTCTCCGGAAGAAGACTGGAAACCAAGAAATACGAAGCAGGCTCGAACAAAAGACTCGTATGTCAGAAAAACTACGTCTCGCCGCCATGCGCCCGATCAAGCTCTTGGTAGCCACTCCGGTGGTCACCCTCAACGCCCTCTACATCGCTATTTCTTACGGCATCCTGTACCTTCTGGTAGCAACTTTCACTTTTGTCTACACAGAACACTATGGATTTGACGAGAGTTCGAGCGGTCTCTCTTTTCTTCCCGCCGGCATTGGCATGGTCGTTGGCGTGATCGGTTTCGGGCAGTTGACCGACTTGATTGTGAAGCGGACGAAAGCCAGAGGCTTGGAGTATAAGCCCGAAGACCGATTGAAACCGATCATGACTGTTCCTTGTGCGCTAGCTTTACCATTCGGCTTGTCTCTCTACGGCTGGACGGTGCAGAATGAGGTCCATTGGATTGTTCCGATGTTGGGTGTCATGATTATATGTATTGGATTGATGGGCACAATGGTAAGTTCGGAGCGACTCAGGAATTTGTGTATACATCACTGAAATCATGGGAGACATGCATCCAAAACTATCTCATTGATGCCTATCCGCAATATGCCGCCTCGGTGACAGCGGCACTGATAATTTTGAGGTCGCTTCTTGGTGCTCTATTGCCCTTATCTGGATTGGAAATGTACGATGCTTTGGGCCTTGGTTGGGGGAATAGCTTGTTGGGGTTCATTGCGCTGAGTCTTGTTCCAATTTTGGTATCATTCTTCGTCTTTGGGGAGCGTATACGGGGCAGATTCAACCCCAAGTTGTGAAGATTCTCCTTCTTTCTTCACAATAAATAAAGGTGCTTGGGGACAGTGCGATCTAAAAGATTAATAACTGAGAGTCTCCAATACCTAAGATTTCCTCATCCAAGCCCCCAAATGATTATACAAGAACATTTGCTTTCGTCCCAGAAAATATTCTGTGTTCAATATCATGAACCTCTTCCGGCCATGATAGCCAGGGCTGCCACATTGGTCCTAGGTGAGTACTAATGGCATGAAGTAGATGCGGTCCAGCCTCTCCGATCTGCCAAAAGCTCTTACCGAAGTGCAGGAACATGCTGTATCGTGCTAAAACCACCAGCGCCTCCGGGACCTGGCGCTCCAAAAGGCAGATGTAACGATCCGATAGCATGATCGACCAGGTAAACATCATCCGTCGTCCACACTCGACCCTGGTCGGATCTCTTAGGTCATGAAGGCCCGTATCCACCAGCCGGAGTGCCATCTCACATGCTGACCTTTCCTCTTCATCCAAGTTGGATGATTGAGCTATAAGAGACTGCAGAGCCTCGTTGGGCTCAATGGTTTTGTCGTACATGTCCGCAGCCAATCCCCTGGTCATCAGCGGGCCAAATTCAGTCTCCAAAAGGGATACCCAATCTTGTTGAGCGGCGACGGCTTTGACTCCGCCATGAATCCTGACGCCATGAGTGAAGCGGTTCAAGAAATGAGGGAAGTCTAGGCCGTCATCGCGAAGCACATCAGCCAAGATGTGGCGGCCGAGGACAGAAGAAAACAGTAGTCGGGCTACACATGTCTCCCTGCCTTCTTCATTGTGCGTAATGTTGAACATTTCGATCGCTCTGGTTTGCAACCTGACTGCCTGATCGAGGTACAGCGCCGACTTCTCGGGCCGGATAATGGAAAGATGGCGTGCAGACATGGCCAGGACCCCCTGCATCAAGAAAGGGGCTCCCTGGGCGATTTTCAGAACCAGCTCGGTCGCAGGTCTTCCAAGGTTGTCATCGAACTCGGGAACGTAGACGTCGAAGCTGAAGTGGAGAAGTAGTTCCATGTGAAGCATGTTGACGGCGTCAGGGTCTCCGTTCGGCTGGACATCTGGTGATGCCCTAGCAGAATGATGATCCGATCGGGGGGGCACATCATGGCCCTTATTTGATTTGGTCAATTACACGTATTTTTTTTTGTTGCGATTGGGTGTGGCTGACCTACCCCTATGTATGGCTCGTCGGCAAAAGAACACAGACGGTCGGCCTTGATACAGTTGAAGCATGTGGGTCGTTGTTCATCACACTGTTCAAAAGCAAAGGATGTCAGTCTATCAGATGCTGTGTACATGAGAAATCTTGAGAAGGGAAAGGTTCAATGACATCGCTGGTCAGAGGAATAGGTTACCCGCATATGCCGCCGTTTACACTCCGTGCATCCTTTACGGCTTTTCTTGTGTTGACGACGTAACATTGCGATTGAATATGCTTTTGAAGACTTTCTTTTGAGTTTGTTTCTCTTTTGCTCTCAAAGGATGAATGCCGGCCACGGGGAAGGATGAGGCACTGCGTGTCATGATCCGAACATCCCTCTGAATTTGACGGTATGAAATGCATTAAGTCCGGTCAGCGGCTGACAACAATACCGGGCCGTACAAAATAGGGTCCAAGTATTTAATTAGTTGGCTGAGCGTTCATTGACGTTGCATCCGTGCCTGATGACTCGGGAATACGCGTATCTCCACAATACAAGCATTTACGTGTATCTCGGGCTCTCGGCCCCTTGCCAACTAGGGTCCATCTTTTTAGGGCCGAGATCGAAGTCCTCTAGCTTGATGATAAGAGGAGCAACCCATCTTTTGACACCAAAAAGATTGGTCAACTGTCCTTCCAGGCAGCAACATATGGGATGTCTCACCGAAGCGGTAGCGTGAGATCGTCGTATAGTTGCTACGCCACCACAATGAACGTTGATTCAGACAGAGTGACTGTAGTGATCAGTATCTCAGGGAGCCACAACTTCCATACGGAAGGCGCCCACACCTTCTTCGACGGAGAATTCCATACGCACAATCCACTATGATGCTATTTAGGGCAGAGGCTGAGTTGAGTATCTCAAGGCAAAGATCTAGACCAAGAGGATACATGCTAGTGAGATGTTCGTGTCCAAGACCCAGCATCTCGGCGGTCAGAATCTTTCAATATAAAAGCCAATATCAATGACAGATGATTCAAGAAGTTGTGAATCGGAAGTTTCAGAAGCTGCTACCTTTCTCAATCGACACAGAAAAGCTTTGCTTGAAACGCAGTCAAAGATCAATCTTTTCTCGCCAATACCCGCACCACCATGGCATCGCTACATCACCGAAGCGACAGTCAGGTCATGGCATCTCTTTACTTATATGACCCCTCAATGGCTGCCGCTTGCGTCTTCATCGTCCTATTCTCTTCAACTCTTGCCTCTCACGCACTTTTTCTTTACAAGAAACGAACCCGCTTCTTCATTCCATTCATCGTCGGCATTGTCTGCGAAATCCTTGGTTATGTTGCTCGAGCCATATCGGCAGCCCAAACCCCGAACTGGCAGGTGATGCCCTACGCAATACAGTCTCTAATGCTGCTCATCGCCCCGTCGTTGCTCGCAGCATCTATTTACGGCATGCTAGGTCGCCTCATTATTCTATCAAACGGCCAAGACTACAGCCCGGTCAAGCCGACGATTCTTACGAAGGTTTTCATCACGAGTGATGTCCTCTCCTTTCTCGTTCAGAGCGGAGGTGGGGGTATTCTCACTAATGCCAAGTCGCCGAGCAAGATTCAATTGGGAGAAAACGTCATAATTGTTGGCCTTATCATCCAGCTCATTGGCTTTGCTCTTTTCATTGCCGTCACAGCAGTCTTCCATTGGCGTATTTCTCAAGAGAGAGGTCGGGATCTGAGACACGCAGCCTCATGGGAGAAGTTCCTTTGGGTCTTATACGGCGTCAGTGTACTGGTCTTAGTCCGTTCACTATTCCGTGTCATTGAGTACATCCAAGGCTATAATGGATAGTGAGTTTGGTCACAACTTAGGCTCCTCCTTCCGGTCACTAATTGTTCATGTGTTAAGCTTGCAAACAACCGAGGTGTTTCTCTACGTCTTCGACGCGGCTCTTATTTTCCTCGTCGCTTT